CCGCACCTGGTTAGTTAAAGAGATTTTATAAGGGATTGCCTAGCTATGAGGGATAAAGGAGAGACACTATAGTGATAATGCAATACCTTGAGAGAAGGACCATAGGGAGTGGACATAGGTTAAGGCTGATCGAACCGCTACAAATATCTAATATGTTTATTCTTGTATTTTACTTTTTTGCACTTTATTTCTATAATAACTGCTTGGTAAAAATAATATTCAATATTTTTTATGATTATTATAATATAATCACCATAATTATAATTGTTTGCAAGTTAATTAGCTTCCCCATCAAAATGAAAGTATTGCTTTCATATTAGTGTGCCTAGGAACAAGTTCACTTAGGCTTAGCATCATTTTCAAACTTTTAGTATTGTATGATTAGTTCAAGTATTTGAAATAGTCATATAGATCCATATTCATCATATAATACTAACAAGATGAAATGACATAATCTTATTATATGATTCTCGATCATATTGTATAATCATAAATGAAAGAATTGAAAATTTAAGATTTTTTTGAAGCCTCATATAAAGCTCTCTAATTAGATTTTGTGATACTTTTTACTATTGAGATATTTCTATGAGAGTGCTTGCGAGGTCTTCGAGTTTGGAGAGGGAGAAGGAGAAGTTGTATGAGAGGGAGAAGTAGTGTGAGCGGATTCACATGGTTTCTCCAAGTAAGCTTCTACCTTTGTTCCTCTAAGTGTCTTTGTTTATCTTTTGGGTTGCTTTGGGGAGAAAGTATTCAAGGCCGAAGATCACCAGGATCTCTACCTCACTAAGAGGATGAAAAGGATTCAGGGTCTTTGCCTCACTAGGAGGATGAAAAAGGATTCTAGTTCTTAGCCATACTATGGAAGGGTGGAAGTGATTTTATAAGGGCTTTTCCATCATATTTTTGGAGCTAAAGGAGAGTCACTAAAGGTTTAGTGCAATACCCTGAGAGGATGATTCCGCGTAGTGGAGGTAGGTCAAGGTTTGATCGATCCACTTTAAAATTTTTTGTGTGCTCGCTCTTTTTATTTCACACTTTTATTTCACATATTTTTATTTCCCATATATTATTTTCTTAAAATATATGATGATAACATTGTGATAGCTTAGGATTATTTTTGTGAGAAAAATAATATAAAAACAAATTTATGAAAATAAAAAAAAAACAATAATATTTTATGTTCAATCCAAAACATAGAAATTTCATTTTGTTTTTGATATTGTATCCACTTGCATTTTTGTTTAAACATCATTTTAAAAAGAAAATTATTTTTAAAAAGAAAATTTTAAAACACATATTCACGCCCGCCACTTGGTGTGCCTTAGATAGTTCAAGTCAGTTTTACAACCCGAATTGAGCTTTCACTCCCTAACTCCTAAGGGGGCATTTATAAACTTCTTGGCGAAAAATTGAGAAAAAAAATATTTCAATTTTTTATTTTTTTTTAATTTTTCATGATTTTTAAGCCAAAAATAGTAATTTTCATTTTTAAAACTTAAAAAAGGAAAATTAAAAAAGAGTCTGCCATAAAATGTTAGCACAGTTGCTGCCTCAAAGAGGAACTTTTATTTGGTCCGGTGAACGTACGCGTTTTCTTTATTTACCGCGCCCCCCGACAACCCGACCTGGAACGGACCCAAGATTGCTCAGTATTGCTAGGTATTGATCAATTTTGCTCGGTAATAACCAATAACAAGCAATACCGAGCAAATACCTAGCAATACCGAGTAAATATCGAGTTGTACCTAGTTTTTTCTAGCAATACCGAGCAAATCCCTAGCAATACCGAGCAAATCCTGAGCAAATACTGAGTTGTAGAAAAACTCGGTACAACTCAATATTTGCATGATATTTGTCTTCACATAGCGGTATTTCTCATTTTTGCAAAGCAATACCGAGCAAATACCGAGCAATACTGAGAAAATCGCGAACATAGCATTCCCGGGTTCCGGTCCGGGTCAAGTTGTCGGGCCGTGCGGTAAAGAGTAATAGCATGTGGCGACATGTTATTGGTGGCCGAACATAGCTCTACGTCCGGTCAGAGGACACAAATTGCCACCTCTAAAAAAATCTTGAAACTTCTGAAGGGACACTAGTCCGCGGTAGCAGCACGTGCGGGTCCCATCTAAGCATCTAGCTGCTGGTTTATCTACTAGCCATTTAAGCAGCTAAATAGGAAAAGGCCCAATTTTTGGCCTTGACAATTCGATTCAGACATTTTGGGATTTTCATGTCCATTTTCTAATATTCTCAGCTCAATTTTAGAATCTATAGAGCCTAATAAAGCCTCTATAATCAAATTAAAGCAATTTTAATAGTTTGGTAGCTCAATTTTATTATATTTTTTTATTTGAATCAATGTGTGAACTTTGAGACATGTAAAAATTATGATCAAGGGTATTTTTGGACCTACAAAAATTATGAACAATAATATTTTACTTGGTTTATGGCCTTGAGAGGACGTCCATGTTGATGTAAGGAAGCGGTCGTATATTGTAATTATCATAAAAGTACTATTTTATATTACAACAGTTTGAAAAGCGTTATATATATATATATAGAAGACCTCAATGTTCAAAAATATGGGATAACTAATACAACACCACAAAATTGCCTTGACGAGCAAAAATCTCGAGGCATATCCAAGTTGAAAACTTTCAAAATTAAATTTGAGACAATCTAAACTTAAATTTCAACAAACTTATTATCAAATTGAGTGACTCAATGAGATGAACCCAACCTAAAATTCTACCTAAACACCACTACCAGACCACCACCCAATAGCTAACCCTCGTTGGACTATTATCTTGCGGCCACCCATTCTCGGACCACCGTTCATCCATCGATCACTATTGAACCTCCACCCAACCACAAACTATCGTCAGACCTCCACCTGGCTACCATCGACCATCTTTTAACTTCTGCCAGCTACCATTGATACACCACTTACACCTTCATCATGTATTAACTACAGTTCCACTGATCATCATTGCTTAATTTTGACCCTTCTAACATTTGTCACCCATCGACTATGACCTGTCCAACCTCCATCTCTTATTGACTATTGTCCCTCCAATCACCATCGTCTGCCCACTATGGTCCCTCTAACCTCCATCACCAGCCGACTACGATCCGTTTGACCACTGGCGCCTGCCAACTACGGTCCGTTTAACCACCAATGTCCACCGACTACGGTCCCTCCAACTTTTTCAATAATCTACTACAGCTCCTCCAACCACTATCAACTGCAAACTATGGTCCATTCAACTTCTTTTGCCCATTGACTATGGTCCCTCCAACCAGGGCAACCCGTCGACTATTGTCTCTCCGACCATAGTCGTCCGTCGACTGTGATCACTCTTACCAAAGTCGCCTGTCACTATGGTTCCTTCGACCATCATCGCTCGCTAACTACGGTCCCTCCAACCTCCATTGCTTATTGACTACAATCCCTCTGACCACCATCACTCACTAACTATGATCCCTCTGATCTCAGTCGCTCGACAACTATGATTCCTCTAACCACCTTCTCCCATCGACAATGGTCCCTTCGACCTCTTCCATCCATAGACTACGGTCCATCCAACAGACCATCGTCCGTCGACTACAGTCCCTTCGACCTTCATCGCACGCCGACTACAATTCCTCCAACCACCTCACTCTTAAACTATAATCCTTCCGACCTCCATCATCTGCCTACTACAGTCCCTTTGACCACCATTGCTTGCCGACTATGATCTCTCTGACCTCCATCTCTTTCCAACTAGGGTCCCTCCGACCTCCGTCACCTACCCATTATAGTCCCTCTAACCAATGTTGCCCACTGACTATAGTCCCTCTGATCATTGTCGCCTGCTGACTATGATCCCTCAAACTACTGTCTCCTGACTATGGTCCTACTGACTAAACAAATATGCCAACACTCTCTTGGGAACAACTCTCATATCAAAATATTCTTCTAATTCCCACCATGTCATGTGCTCTATATGTTGTATATTTGCTACATAAAGCCAAGGCCTTCCCCCCAAGGAAGGGCCTCATTTGTAAAAAAAATAAACACTAGTAGAATCATTTTAGCTAGGCTAGACCATATAGTTTTCCCCCTTTTTAGGGTTTTTTACGTAAAAATATTAGTGTGTCACTTATGACTCTTGCACCTCTCTCTCTTATCCATATGTGCACTGGATCTTTGTACAAAGCTTGGACCCTAAACTCTATATCTCTCTACTGCCATGAATGTTCTAGGATGCAACACATGCAAATTATTTTCTTAATAAATTAGTGAATTATGTAATATGGATGATGTGGATGTTATGTATGAAGTGGTTGAATTTATAGTTTAGTTTATTAAATATGGATGAGTTTTTAAATTAGTTCATAGAATTGTGAATGCTATAACTATTGTGATTATACTATCTTATTAGACCTTATTCGATTATATTTTAGATTATAGCACTCTTGTTATTAGTACTCGACATATTACTCTAACACATTAGTTTTATACGTATCTTATTCAACATGTTCAAATTAAAAGCTTCATTGATCAAATCAAACATTTTCAAAGATGTGTCAAAGAAGAGTCAATTACGTATTCAATAAGTTTCAATTGTTTCATTAAAATTTTAAAAATTATATTTTAAGTACATTATTTGAACCTACTCAAATTAATAATTGAAAATAACTTCAATATTTCATTGATAATATCAATCTGTCTTTAAAGATGTGCTAAATAAGAGTCCATTCAGCGTTTCAATAAATTTTAAAGTATTTATTGATTTTATGACATATATTAGAACTTTATGTAATGCTTATGAAAGCCACCTCTTTAAATACTATACAGTAAAATTAAGCGTATTTTTATCATAATTTTTTTAAAAAAATATTATCTAAGAAATAAAATAAGAGGCCCTTTTTTAATTTTGAGTATTATTGAACAATAATTTAAATTTTTTTATTTTATCCGATATATATATATATATATATATATATACGATTTTGAAGATTTCTCTCTGCAAAGCACCGACTCAAACTTGTGTGGCCAAATTGAGCGGACAACCCACTTCAATCTGCGACTAAAACGCGTCCGAACGGAGCAAAAATGCTTGCTTCTTTCCAATTCCCAGCTTTCCCTCGAGCAAATGCAACTGCAACTACAAGACCAAGGATATCAGCGGTTCTTTGCTCTGCCTCTTGTTCTTCTCCTCCCACCAACAAAAGATTCAATTTTCCTTTACCTACAAGGAGAGCAGCTCTTCTACTTGCGTCTTCTCTCACCTCTTCTCTTCTCCAATTCCTCCCTCAGTGTCAGTTCGCAAAAGCCGTAGAGACGGACGAGCCCCAAGAAGAAGACGAAAGAGTCGTACGGATCTTTCAGGTGACCCTCTTCTCCTCTCCCTCCAGCCCTCCATGTCTCATATTTTCAACTCTTACTAGGGTATGTGATACGACTTCGGAGGATACAGGGATAAACTGCGATTGTAGCTTGCCGGAAACTCCAAAAAAGCATGGTTGAGAGAAAAAGTAGATGGAGGAGGAAGAATATCAGATCAAAGGGGGATTGTTTATTTCATTTAGCTTCCAATGGAGATTAATTATAGAAAATAGATTAGTATTAAAGAACCGTAAATTATCTATTAGCTCTTCATATCTATTACTTAATTATTCTTAAATACTCATTAATATAATTCTAATATATCATTTCAGTATTGTATGTGTATTTTACTTTTTTTATATTGTCTTCTTTTAATATAGCTAGTCATCTAAGAGTACTTGTCAAAGTCAACTAAGGTGTTCTTGTGTGCAGAACTCACCAAGTTATCTTGCCTTATTAACAAGGAATGAACGATCCTAGCCAACAAATAATAGACCACGTGCATGACATCAAGACAATACATGTCAGCATTCAAGAAACAATTCTCACCCACATACTATGATTCATTATCAGCCACATATATTGGCAATGTAATACTATAAATATAAGTGTACAGTAAATAGTATAGATGAGATGATTAATACATTGACTTGAGTCACGAGATGATTCATCGTATACTTTGTCTTTTACTACCTTAAATCTTCTTTATGGTATCAGAGTCAAGATCTTTCATACAAGGTCAAAAGAAGTAAGTCATCTTTATGGCTCAATCTTCTTCTTCTCAAACTGCAAATTCAACATCCGAATCAACCATAGATACCTGCATTATACCTGCAACTTTGAAATTCATCATTTCAAATATCAGAAATATAGTTCTCACCCAGTTATCAAACGATAACTATCACATATGGAAATCCCAAATCACAAAATTGTTATGAGCAAATGGATTCTATAGTTTTGTCGATTCTAACAACTCACCACCAAATCGCCTCCAGCAATCCAATGAAGGATCAACAATCATCAATCCGAGATACACAGAATGGGTTTTGATTGATCAAAACCTTGCAGCCACAATTTGTTCTACCATATCTCCAGCCATTTTACCCTATGTTCTTCATCTCGAATCATCAGTTGCAATATGGACTACCATTGAAAGGAGATTACAAGCATCAAATAGATCTAGAGTAATTCAGCTTAAAAATGAATTACACAACGTTTCCTTGAAGCAACAAACCATGGCAGAATATCTAAATGAATCAAGACACTAGTGGACAAAATCGCAGCAGTAGGAGCTAATATTGACAAAGAAGATATCATTTTATATACATTGAATGGCTTACCTTCAGCATATCAGTCATTCAAGAGAACCATTCATATAATGGTACAATCAATAAGCCTTGATGATTTATATGCCTTTCTAATCAGTGAGGATCTTAACCACAATGCCGAAGCAGCACGACAATACAATCCCTCAGATCAAAATACAACACTATATACAAATAGAGGCAGGGGAAGAAGAGGAAGAGGTAGATACAATTACCAGAATGTTCGAACAAGAAACCAACAGGCACAGCAATGTCAAATCTGCAATAAGAAAGGTCATTCAGCAAACAACTGTTGGCACAGATTCAATAGCAATTACATTCCCCCACCACCAAAAGACAACACAGCTCTTACTGCCACTAATGACAATCAAAATCTAGATTAGTATCTGGATTCCGGTGCAACATCTTTCCTCACAAATGATATCAACAATCTCACATTAGGAGATCCCATACCGTATAATGGAACAGACACCATACAAATTGGAGACGACAGTGCCATTCCCAGTGCTCACACAGGAGCTGATCTTTTACCAACCCCCAATCGTAAGTTACTATTATCCCAGATTTTTCACATTCCAAATCTCTCTCACAAACTTCTTTCGATATATAATCTAACCAAAGATAGCAACATCAACATATCATTTGATGAATCTGGTTTTATTGTCAAGGACATCAAGACAAACTAAATCTTGCTTCAGGGTCCAAGTCATAATGGACTTTATACAATACCAACATCTTCATGTACTCCCAAACCAATACTCACTTCCATTCACCAAGTTGCAACCACATGGCATAACAGACTTAGACATCCCAACATTAGAACCATGGCAATCATCTCCAACACCAACCACAACTTGAAAATACCTACATCCACTATCATATGTATAGCATGTAAAGTGGCTAAATGTCACAAGTTACAATTTCCTATTGCTGCTTCACATTCTAAAGTTCCATTAGAACTCATACACTCATATGTATGGGGTCCAGACCCAATTACATCATATCAAGGATTTCGTTACTACCTCATTTTAATAGATGATTATTCTCGGTTCACATGGGTTTTTCGCATAAAGTCAAAATCTGAAGTGCCAGAAATTTTCATCATGTTTCACACAATGATAGAAAAACAAATCCCTCATAAATTGAAACGATTCAGATCAGATGGGGGAACGGAATATATAAATAGAATGCTACAAAATTACTACAAAAGCAGGGCATCATACATCAAATATCATGCCCATACATGCCCGAATAGAACGGTACAGCTGAAAGGAAGCATAGACATCATATTGAAACAATAAGAACTATGATAAACACGGCATCAGTGCCATATTCATATTGGCCAGATTCAATTCTTACGACATCATATCTGATCAACAGGATGCCCTCTCACACGACTTACAACAATACTCTATACCAGCTGCTCTATCACAAAAATCCAGACTACTCAATTTTGAGAACTTTTGGTTGTGAATGCTTCCCCTGGATACCTCCACACAACAGACACAAAGTAACCCCACGAGCCACCCCATGTATTTTTTTGGGATACTCAACATCACGCAAATGATACAAATGCTTGAACCCACATACCAACCACATTACCATATCAAGACATGTAACATTCCATGAACACATTTTTCCCTTTGCAAAAATTAACAAATCAACCTCAACAACTTCCAACATCTCAAATAACCCTTACCTTCTTACACCTACCACACAGTGTACAACAAACACGAAATACCCATTCAGATGTTCATAATGAGAACCACACATCAAACACATCTCAGCCATTCATACCACCATTAATAGCACCACAGCCGATACAGTCCACACCCCAACCGATACAGCCCACTCCCCAGTCGATATAACCCACACCCCAGCCACCCATACCACCATCAATAGCAACACACCCAATGGTAACAAGGTTCAAAACCGGCTCACTCAAACTAAAAATCATACTAAACATGTTACATCAAAATTCCCAAAATCAAAACAACCTAGATCTACATACCAAGAAGCATCCAAATACCAACACTAGAGACAAGCAATGGCAACAGAATTTCTTGCATTACAGCAGCAAGCAACATGTCTCTAGTTTCACCACCGAAAAACACTCCCATTCTTGGTTGCAAATGGACATACAAAACCAAATTTCATTCTGATGGATCAATTGCTAGATACAAGGCATGACTGGTAGCTCAGGGACACAGGCAACAATATGGAATCAACTATCTGGAAATATTTAGTCCAGTAGCGAAATTTTCAACCATCCGAATGCTACTTACTATTGCATTCAACAAAAATTATGAAGTTTAACAGTTAGACGTGACTAATGCTTTTCTACACAGAAAACTGACGGACATAATATATATGGGACAGCCCCAAGGCTATGAATATAAAGAATATCCAGAGCATGTATGATGGCTTCACAAGGTAATATATGGACTAAAACAGATATCAAGACCAATGGTTCACAACATTCTCAACATTTCTATAATAAATAGGATTTCAACCAAGCAAGGCTGATCCCTCACTACTGATACTCTCACAAGAAGACTCATAGGCATACATATTAACATACGTAGACAACATCTTACTCACGGGTAACAACTCATCACTCATATCCAACATCATATTGAAGTTGCAAAACACCTTTTCTATGAAACACTTAGGCACAACAAACAACTTTCTTGGCATCAAAATAACTACACACAAAAACTCCCTTTTTCTGTCTCAAACCCAATACGCAAAATTTTTACTTCCAACCCATCATGCACTAAACCATCACAAAATATAACTCCTGATCCCATTCTCACAGACCCACACACATACAGACAAATAACTGGATCACTTCAATACCTAACCATAACAAGACTAGACATTGCATTTCATGTAAATCTACTTTGTCAACACATGTATAACCCACAACCATATCATGCATATCTGCTCAAGCGGTTGCTCAGATATATTAAAGGCACGGAAGACTACGACATACCTATTTCACTTCGACCACTCACACTATCAGCATACTCAGACGCAGACTAGGCAGGAGACACAGAGACAAGAAGGTCTACCTCAGGATACTGTTCATTTCTCGGATTCACATCGATCTCATAGAGTGTAAAGAAACAACATACCGTAGCTAGATCATCCACGAAAGCATAATACAAAGCTCTGGCGACAGCTATTACTGATATTATTTGGCTACGACAAATACTACAAGACTTCAAAATTCCTATTTTGCATTCGACGGATCTTCACTGTGATAATACCTCCACTATAGCCCTAGCTAATAACCCGGTGTTTCATGCAAGAACGAAACACATCGAGATAGATCATCATTTCATAAGACACCGATTTACTCGAATATCATTCGAGTTCAACCGATTAGCACACAGGATCAGATCGCCGACATCTTCACGAAACAACTTTCCACTCCAAGATATCATCTCCTCAGAGCCAAGCTGAGGGTTTATGAAAACCATCAGCTTGAAAGGGAATAACAAGGAACGAACGATCCTAGCCGACAAATAACAGACCATGTGCATGACATCAAGACAGTACACGTCAGCATTCAAGAAACAATTCTCAGCCACATATATTGGCAATGTAATACTATAAATATAAGTGTACAATAAATAGTATAGATGAGATGATTAATACATTGACTTGAGTCACAAAATGATTCATCATATACTTTGTCTTTTACTACCTTAAATCTTCTTTACTTATGTTCTCTCCTATTAGAGGACAGTCAACCATACTCAATCACTATATATATATATATATAGTCTCTTTCATGAACTTTTCTTATAAAATTCTCATGCATCTCATCATGTAACACCAATCTTAGAATACACTAATAAATAGGGGGTTAAAGATCGAACATGTGCTTGACATCACTTGTATTTTTTGACCAAAATTCTATCCAATCAAATATCAACTTCTCTCGTTGTTTTCTTAGGTGTCAATTTGATTCTCCCATTTTTTATGCTCTAAGGGGTCAATTAGGGCCTCTATAATACCTAAATAATCGTATAGAATCTCTAAACTCACATCTCTCATTCTCTTTTTTGGGCTCAATCCTAATATATAACAGGGTCTTTATGTCACACTACAGACAAGTATGAATTGAACATCCTAAAAGGTGCATTGTACGTAGATCAATATCTATGAAAAGGAACAAAATCATGCACTATCATGAGCACTAACCCCCTCCCAATAATTATGTCACGTTTGAGTAACTCAACTACATATAGGATTGTTTGACCAAGATGATATAGGAAATCTTTGAATGGTTCTTACATGATTATTCTCGAGTAGTCCCTTTGAGAGCATGGCTCAAACTCTTCTCCATGTCAGCATTGCCAATCTAGTCTAAAAGCTATTGCACCAACTTCTTTCAATGACAATCCATAACTTGTAGAGACCTCATAGAAGAGAGTACCACAGAGACTCTTCTCTCCCATCAATCGATGAAACACAAAATGCAGCTTGCCAACATTTCTCAATAAAAATAGTGGATGTTCAACTTTCACTAAAGTTTAAAATGTGATCACTAGATTCTTACGTATTTATGTTTAAACTGTAGCCATTAGATCTCATAGGGAAAATAAATCTATTGACCATGTTGCCCACTTGGAGCAAACTCTTTTCCTTCTCACATTCATCGATACGATTATGTGTAGTTTGCTTTTCAACACTTTCAAAGATGCACCACTGTAGTGGTTCCCACGCCCTCTAGGTAGCATCAATGATTTCTTAGACTTTAAGTGACAATTCACTGCACAATGGCCGCTGAAGAATTTTTAAGTTCTTCCTTGCTAGATAGCAGGAACCTGTTAGACCGGTCCAGTGGACCGGTCCAGCCGGTCCAGGCGGGACCGGCCAAGTCGCGAAACAGGCGATCTGTTCGCCTGGGCGGAGGCCGCGCGCACCGCGTGCTTTGCGGGAGCCGAATAGGAACCTTTTTTGGGGAAATTAAGAGGGGAATTTGAATGTAGGGACTGTTTAGGGATTTCCTTTTGATTTGTATGCATTAAATAGTAGATTTTCCTAGGGTTTGAGGATCTTGAATTTGGCTGAAATTTGAGATCTCATAGATTTAGGTTTTCTTTGGGCTCTTGGCGTTGCCAGAGATTTGGGAGAGAACGATCCTCCTCTCGAATTGAGGATCAATTGTATCTTGCTATTTTATTCTTCTTCTAGTAAAATACAAGTTCTTACTTCGTGTTTCTATCGTTTTTCTCGTGTTTTCCCACTGTTTTGGCTGATTTCCTGTTGTGGACAGCAGTTTGCTGTGAGATCTTTGGCTAAAGTGATTAGGAAATACTTGGAATCAAGTATTTCCTATCAGAACCTTGCGAGTCCATTTGTTGATTCACCAATTGCTTTTAACGAGACCATGTCCAAGACTTGGAGCATGTCATAGCTTAGGTGTTGCTCACTTCAGTTCTCCTAGAAGACCTCTTCAGACATGTGCTCAACTTGGAGCAACTATAGACATTGATTGAGTTATTTGAACATGCTAATAGCCATGTGAACATAAAAAAATATAACCACGCTACATAAACTTCAACGGCCAAGTTACACATATCTGAACTTTAATGTGATTCTCCATGACATCCTCATGATCAATGTAGCAATCCGCATAGCAAACTATGACAATTCCATCAAGATGTTGAATGATCACAACCAATCCCAAAATCAACAACGAAATAGAAAAAGAGAAGTCCCTTTTGAGAACATACTTCGATTTCATATTGGTGCTCTATCATTGATGTAGGATCTATCTCTGATTCCTCGCTTGCTAAGTTTTTAGTCATCGATGCAGTTGGATTACTGATTCATTGTCACTACTTTTCCTTCATTATGATCTTTCTCTGTCAAGGCTGTGTAGTGAAAAATCGTGAACAAAAATGTACAACGCATGTTCTCTAGCATTCACGGGATTCCATTTCTCTCTCAATTTAACTCATTAGATTTATGGATATTAAGTGTAATCTTGATTTTCTTATGCAATTCACATGCCTTTCAAACATTTTTAGAACTAAGATTTAAATCAAGTAGGATTGAACTCATAATAGAATATTTTAAGCATAAATCTTGATTTTCCTTTGTAATTTGCATTCCTTTCCAATCTATTAGAAATAGGATTTAATTGATGTAATTCTTGTAAATTCGGATTTGTAAATTTTCAAAGTATTAATCTAAAAACTTTTTGGTGTGGCAACTATTACATATCTTTAAATTCTGATAAATTGTTTGACATTTTGTATCAGAATTTAGAATTTAAATAAATATGAGTTCTAAAATATCTAGGGGTCACCACAGACTTGAGTAAGAAGCATGTTGACCTACATCTCATCTAGAAGGGAGAGGTTGCCTCCATAATGCATGTTTTAAATATTTACTCTTTTGCATGTGTTCCATGCAAGAATTGTTGATGCAATCCATAAAAAGAAGTATTTTCATCAACCACCACCACAACACTTGTTGTTGTGTACTCGTAATGTGTCCAAATACTATGTTTACCACAAAGACTAAGGTAACAATACTAAAGATATTCTTTTCCACTATAATCCTATTATTTTTCATCAACCACCACCACTGTACTTGTTGTTGTGTACTCGTAATGTGTCCAAATACTATGTTTACCACAAAGATTAAGGTCACAATACTAAAGATATTCTTTTCCACTACAATCCTATTATGGAGCTTATTTGTGCAGACAAGCTCAAAGAATTCCTCCTTTCATTGACAATTTAAATTCACTCTTGTAAAAATAGGAAGAAAATTTTATCCGGTTTTTTTATTGACTCCGCCCTCTCCTTACTACAAACAAATTTTAATTTTTTCATCAGCCAAACAAGAAATAAGCAATATTTGTTTTGCACTAATTTTCTGCTCAACTGAAGAAATGAAACAATAACTTTCAATTCAATTCCTTTGTCGTTTTCATTATCCTTTCATTTGCGTTTCCTTTCTTATATTTCCTTCAAACCAAGCACTTCCCTTAGAATAAATGTCTTTTTCTTTAGGAGGCCTCTCCTGCTGTGGTTTACATCAAATATTTGGAGGTACAATCGAGAGCAGGGAAGAACAAGGAAAGCAAATTTATCAATGACTCAGTTAAAGGAGAAGATGAGGAGGATTTAGGGGATGCAAAAGTCGAGAGCACAGGCTCTGGTTTTGTTTGGGACAAGGCTGGGCATATAGTAATAATGGGCATTTTCTCAAAAAAAAAAAATTTTTTTTTTTGGTGAAATGATTGAAAAATCTAATTTTGTATCATGTTATTGGGTTCTTTAGGTTACAAATTACCATGTTGTAGCTAAATTGGCCACAGACACATCCGGCCTTCATCATTGCAGGGTTGGTAAGAATGATTGTTATTTAGGGTTTTAATGGTTTATGATTTTGGTTCTGATGATGAGTTTTCATCTTAGGTTTTTCTTGAAGGTTCAAATGGGAGAACATTTGTCAGGGAAGGAAGGCTAGTGGGATTTGATCCTGCTTATGATCTTGCTGTTCTGAAGGTTTTGAACGTTATATGAGAGTTTCTGTAATATCGTAGTATTAATTTTTCAGTCTTCTTAGGTTATAAATTTTAGTATTAATTACAAATGCTTACCAATTTCTCTAAGTGCGCAGGTTGATATTGAAAGAGACAAGCTAAGACCAGCACTAATTGGTACTTCACAAGATCTGCGAGTGGGCCAGAACTGTTTTGCCATTGGGAATCCTTATGGATATGAGCACACTTTGACGACTGGGGTAATTAATTTTGTAGTGAATTTAGGATTGCAGCGAGTGGTTTCATTCATGTCCCACCTGCATTTTTCTATCTGAAATTTGCTAGTAAATTTAGAATGGTGTTTCATCATCATCATGGTATCATCAATAGTCAATTACTAACTATTTCTGGCCAGCTTTATTAATCACGCTTCTTATTCGTTCATGCGGACCATTTCAGGAAGTGTTAAACTTATTTTGTGAAGATCTTGTTGCATAGTTTTATCCAAGTTATTTTTCGTTTACTCCTTTTCCTTCCAAATCTTTCAACACCAATTTGATCAGCTCGTTGTATCAATGCATTTTCTATTTTTAAATCATTGAAGACTATTTTTAACTTCACTGTCTTTACTGGAAGCTGCTCTTACTGTCCCCTCTAATATAGTCATCCCTACTATTTTCATTCATAGAATCTATGTCTTGCTACGATGAATTTAATGGTGAGCACAATGTTTCAGAAGTGTACAGAGCTGCACTTGCTTTGTGTCCGCTTCAAAGTATATATTTGATTGTCACAGGTAGTAAGTGGACTACGAAGGGAGATCCCTTCCCCAAATGGAAGGGCAATTCGTGGAGCCATACAAACGGATGCAGCTATTAATGCTGGTGATCTTCAAACTTACTACCTTTACACAATAACTTCAAAAATCATACAAATTACATGTATGTTATAACTGATAAATATTGGTTGATAAGCAAAAACTCATCCTCTTAAGAGCACAATTTATTTTTAAATGGAAGTTCTTGAATTTATATTTCTTCCTAGAATGATTGCCATATTTATTCCTATTATTGATACAAAGAATACTTTTTTCTTAGCTGCTTACTGTCAATTTCATTTAGACGTGCTGATTTAAACTATCATTTTGTTGATTATTCCACTCATTGAAGTGATCAATTCTTCTTTTAGACTGAACGTGCAATATATCCTACCAGCTACTCAGATTGTGCTGATAGTTGCTATGCCATGTTCAAATGTATATTAAATCTACTTTGTTTGTTTGGTCAGATTATAAATACTTAAACTCCTGTGCAACGCATCTTAAGATCATCTAGATTTTGTTTTGGTGATAGATTGATCACTTGAAAACCTGAATTAGTCAGGAAATTAATTTAGGCTTCATGTACACGAAAAGTTTTTATATGGTTTCCTTTGATAATATGTATGATAATTCGCTTCTCATGAAATTGAAATCCTTGATGCAATAAACTCTATAGTTGTTTATTAGAACACCAGTGATATGTATTTGTGCATCAGTTCTAGAATGCGCAGTTTTTTAGTCACTTATAATTAATCCTATTCTCCAGCACAAAAGGCTGAAAGCCTTTGTTTTCTTGTTTGACTGAATTCTTATAATTCTTCGGACAGCAGGAAGAAAATTTGTCAGGCTTCTACGCTAGTTGTTTGTTTTCAAAAATAAATGATCATTAGCTCTGTGCCTATGCTGCTGCTGCACCTACAATATTGCTTTCTTATTCATTACTATATATTGCAATGAAGTTCGAATCTTTTCAGTTTTAAGTCATCTGTTGACTTGTCTTAGCTGTTAATTTTCTCTTTAAATACACTCACGCTGCTATCGCATGATAGTTTTTCCCTAAGAAATCCAACTGCTGCTACTTAAATCAGTTTTGTATAATAAAACAAGAAAGAATTTTCCCTGGTTATTTGGAAATTCTAATAATTATCTAAGCATTATTGCTTCTAACTACCACTCCAGAGTCTATCTTTTTTATGGAAGTCCAATTTCTCATTAAATTTTCGTTTGGTTTCTGGTGGTTATTGACTGTATAAGCTATCGTTGCCCGATACTGAAAAAATTTAGTCGTTCATCATAGTTGCCTTTAAAATGGAGAAATTATTTTTTTTTGCAATTTGAAGAAAAAAAAGAGTATCGACTTGACATAGCATCTTTTGATTATTCCTTTCACATTTATATTAGATTAGGTGGTTCCATTTACATTATTTTTTATATTTGGGAAAACGTTGCCATTTTCTTACTTGAATCCATTGAACTTTGATTAACCTCCTTTTTAGTTGTTGTTTACAATAGAAGTGAAGGACATTTATGAATGGGAGAGAGAATTGAATGAAGGTATTATATACTAAGTAAGGAATAACAAATAGAAGAGTTTCCATCCTATGGATGGAGATCCCAAATTAGGAAATAAGGTTGTGGGTCAGACAATGGTCCAAATGATTTTGAAAGCCATGTGAGTCCATGCGCTGTCTAAGATATGTTTTTGTCTGCATTATGACAAAGAGGTCTAGAGCAATTGGGAGCAGGTTATTAACAATGGTAGGTTAAGAGGGAAAATAAAAATAAATACCAAAATAGTCCTCATAGTATTTGTGTATTGCCAATATAGTCTCAGAGTATCTTGTTGCCCCAATTTAGTTCCTTAACTATACAAAGTTACTCCAAAATAGCCCCTCATGTAGTCATGTTATAATTATGATATAAAATTGATCCCAATTTAGTCCCCTCAACTTTATAGAATTTATCCCAATTTAGTCCTAAAGGGACAATTTTTGATCAATTTTATGGAGTCGAGAGGACTAAATTAAAGCAGCATTATACTCTAGGATTAAAATGACCATATATGAATAATCGAGGGAAAATGATAAGGAAATTTTTGCTTTTAGTTTCATTTTTTGTGGTTGGAGAAATTGACGAGTATTGTTAATTACATAGTTTTTCATTGGGTGATGAGTTTTATTTGCAGTGGCTACTTAAGATGAGGACTTGCAACAGTTTTTACAATCTTCTTTAAGTGTTACATCACCTAAATAAAGAGCTTCATGAGGCCACTAGCCTACTAGGATAAAACCTATGGTGTTCCTCCCCTTACTTGAAGTGTGAGTATGGAAGCACCTTCATGTGAGGTGATTGACATTGTATATACAACCCCAAGGGATATAGAGGGTATGGGCTGGCTCCCTGACCTCTCTACATGATTTGAGGAGATTTTTAACTGATTAAATTTCAACTTAAACTTTTGAAGGTAAGATTGATTAGAAATAAGACACTAACCAAAGATTTCACCCTTATTTGCGATGACTTTAAGATCTAAGTTTAGCTTTTCCATAGATGCGCGCCCTTATGGTTAATTACTTTTGATGATAAGAGAGCACTTTCGATTATGACTAGTTATTAAATAGGTACTTAGTACCTGTCATTTAGAAGCAATAGTTTTAAATTTTTCTGATTTTAAAATTTATTACCTTTTACTTAAAACAGATGGTTGGAATGATGACAAAACCAATCAAGATCTCATGATTCCATCATTTCGGATCATCATGATTTTTAGTCTACTTAGTCAAAGGAGATAGTTGATTCAACCTTACTGAAGAATCTTTGTCGGCTGTCATGGGTTGCTTTGCACAATGATACCTTGTAGAATAGAGATGCATATTTTTCTAAGGGACAACTTCAGGTCAACCTTAGCAAACAAAGGGCTTTGTGCCCTATCATGTCTACCCTATGATTCATTACTCGAGGGTGATAACCATTGGAGAACATACGGGCTTTGGCCGTGTTTGTAATATAATGGAGTCAGTAAATAAAATCACCCGATCAGAGGGTCTTAATCATAATCGTTTACCAAGTAGAGCCGTTTGGTCAAACCACAAGTTAAAGGACTCATGTCATGTCTTTATTGATGAAAGATTATTTAAAAATGAATATTAGTAATATTCTCGACTGGACATTCCCTTCTTATATGAGTTGAAGTTATTTTTGAATTTATCTCTCTCCACAAACAGTTGTGGAGAGTGGATGAGTTTTGTTTTAAGTTATTGGGTGATTAATTTCCTTTTAAATATTTGAATTTTGATAAAAAGAAAATAAAATTTTAGAATTTTGATAGATTTTGAAAATGATCTTTCTTGTTAAGATTCACTTTCATCATGACTATTATCGGGGTGATATTAAAGTCATTTAAAAATATTTTATTTTTTTTAGAGTTTTGGGGCTAAAATCTTATTCTCAAAAATATATTTTTTAATATTCTTTAAATGCCCCCATCTAATCCTAGAAAATTGTTTTACTTTATTTTTTATTTTATGCCTCTTTATCTTAAAGTCTAAAACTAATAATCGATGTTGGGCACATAAATTAGATTTAAACGAGAATTTGACTTTTAATAGGACACAATGGAGAAAAAGGATTCATCTAGCCAACCCCACGTAGTGGGATAAATGCTTGTTGTTGTTGTTGTTGTTGTAAAGTTTTGGGGCATTTAAAAGGTAGGTCCTCTCCTGTTGAGATTCTTTTTCAACACGGTTATCATTAGGAGTTTAAATAATTCATATTTTGTTATTTTAATCTTATCAACTCTGTTTGATTGCTAATAGAGGACCGAGTTCAACCATTGTCTCATGAGTTGTTTTACAAACATTGAAACTAAAGTTTGAGTTTTTACGATTGTTTTCATCTAAATAAGCTTTGAAGGCCTAAAGTAAATTTAAAATCAAATATTTCAGTGGATTTTATGATTGTGTGTTTGCTTATTAATCTAAATATTATTGACTACAGTCTTTTCAAGGAGGATTGAACTTAAACTTTAAATTTATATTTACCATGCACAATCTTCTTGGACCTTAGGTTTAAGAATTTTATGCAATGGTCGAAGCACGGACGGGTGTTTAGGCATCTTTTTAGGTTACTACATGTTCTTCAATGCGTTTGCATGATACATTTGTACGCTTTTTGGTGCACTCGCATGTGTACATATGTAAACTTCCAATTCATTGGCATGCTTTTTGATGCACTTGCACATATTTTGATATATTTGCGTAGTATGTTCACACGTCTTTAATTCACTTTATTTATTTTTTTCTTTTTTATACGATCATGTGCTTTTCAATTCCTTGGTGCGTTTGTCTAAGCGATAACACACTTCTCGAGATAATCATGCATTTCTCAATGCAATGTGCTTCATTAGGTTATTGCATGCTTCTTAAGACAATGTCATTCTTGTCGAGGTTGTCGCATGCTTCTTGAGGAGGCGGCATGCTTCTTGAGCGGTATGCTTTGAGTTTGAAAATATATATTTTGATACGCGTGGGACTTTTAAAATATTCAAATTTTGATTGTTTGTGTGGGTGATTATCTTTTGAATGTGCTTAATGATTTCAATTTTAAATTTTAAAAGGTTTGTCATTTGCATCATGTCTGCTTGTATATTAGTATCACGGATCTAATGGCATTAAAGGCAAAAAATATCTTTTATATAGCTTTCATTTTTGCAAAGTTTTTACTTTTTAAAACATTATAGAATAAAGTTCTATTTTCCTCTCATAGGCGAGCTATCCTTTTCACTACAAGTTTCATGTTCTTGTCCATAAGCTAGTTGTTGTGTTCATAACAAATCCCCAATAAATATTTTAAATCTTGTAAATTCTAATTTGGTTACGTTAAATCTTATTTCTTGCGAGTTCCCTCAATTTGAATTTTGGCAGTCTCACAACATCTTTCTCATATAGGGGTATCTTCAAGAGGTGCTAAGCCGATTCACTATGCTAAGAAAAGCTTCTATGGTTTGTGTTAAGTGACACCATGACCAAAGTCTTTAATCTCTTCGCACAACAAAATATATGTATG